CACACCAAACTAAAAATATGCCCCATTCAACAACACTTTTTTTTATTTTGTGGTACTCATATCTAGAGTTTGTTAGTCGTACACCAAACTTCAGAATCAGAACGTTGAAGAATTGTTTAACACGAGATTAAAGTTTGTTGTTGTGTAGATGCATCACACAATTTGTTTTGATCACTTTGTAGTTTTGTTGTATGTTAGTTTGCTTATATTCATGCCGGGCTATCAGTGGTATAAACAAGGAATTCTCTGTGAAGCAGTGTTGTAGAGTTAGTTAATTTGGGAAGTTGCAACAACACGGAGTTCGTTCGCTATAAATTACTTGGCTCTTATTTCATTTGCGCTTCTTGTGAGGTAATGGATGAAAGTTAAAGGATGGTATCGCCTTAATTGGGCGAAATCGTAGTTTGTAAATAAATCTGTCTGCAAAATTAAGCATCAAAAAATGAGAAAACAACTTTCCTCTAACAAGTTAGAGTTAAATTAAGCTTCAATAAATGTAGCAATCAGAATGAAGCACAATTACAGTAAATAAATTCAGGAGTTGTTAGTAAATGGCCTTTCGAACTGACGACTGGCGGCCTTTGGAGGTAACGAATCGTGCGAAACTCTAACAAGCTCTCATCCCTCATTTTAAATATATCCTTAGATAGCAATGCGTGCCTCATTCGAGCAAAAGCAACGAAAAAGTATCGTCATTTAAGAGGGGTATAAAAGTTTTTAACAAAGCTTCTGCTTCTTGAAACACGATCGTAATTTGCCATTGGATCTAGTTAAAGATTTCGCTCTCGTCGGCTAAATAATTCAAAAGCTCATGTATAGTGTAATAAAGTTCGATTAGTTTTCGGGGTGGCAGCATAATAAAGCTTTCATTCCGGTTGACAGTTTTTTTTTAATATAATGGCACGGTAGTTTTAATGAGAGGTCGTTATAGAAGCAGAGGAGATTCCAAGCTGTGGCGTTTTTCATCCACCATCCATTAGAACAAATTGACACCTGGTAACTAGGGGGAAGCTCGGTTCTGACGATGCCGGCACCTCGTTATATTAACGACCGGGATTGATTCCCTCCAAAGGGACTAAAGCTCCGACTCGGCCACACGAGGGCCTCCTATTGAAACTAACAGGTGCCTAGTTTCAAAACCTCCCAACAATCGAAATATTTCTCGCATTAAATAGATTTGCCTCGATATAAGACACGTACAAATGGCTTGTTATTAAATTAGGAAGTTTGCTAAAATCAAATACGTGTCACAGCTCGAAGCTGTTAAATTTTATAGCAAGACTCCTCTGACGATATTAGAGGCGAGCTGTCACTTAGGCCAAGTTCGGCGAGACAAGGCGAGCCGGAATGAAAGCCATTCCATGTCTGAAAGTGTCCGCTTCGGTCAAGATGTCAGAAAAGCTTTTAAAACACACTTAGATGAAGTTGCGAGACGCCAAACCGGAGCACTCGACATCTTAGGCGGCGGCGACGCCGATGCGAAAGCACCTTATATAGAAGTTGGCAGCGCTGGACGAATCTCCCGTGTGTATTTTAAAACAGTAAAGGATCGGCAAAGAGCACTTCCTCATAGATGCCTTAATGGCAGTTCACTGTTTCTCGACAGTGTCGTCTTATTGTTCCCTTTTTGGGATACGCTTCCAAACTATTTACGATACGATTTAAATGGCACATACACTGAGGAAAAACGAACCGAAATTCACAATAAGATTGAATTAAGACCGCAAAATTATACCAGACTACGTAATCTAGCTCAATTCTTAAAGGATTTTTTTTTGAATTGAACCGATAAGATTATTATTTATTACTGGTTGAATTGCATTAATATTTAGAAACATGAAATGTTACAAACAGATTAACATAATACAAACTTAATTTACTCAAATTTAATCCATTGTAATTTCCCCTCTATTTCATTTAACCGATATTATTCTATTGTCGGAATAACACACAATTAAGTTGTGTTGAACATTCCCAAATACAAGAAATATTTTTGATCAAAGTATAACCAAATAATATTCGTGTTTCGAGAGAAAGGACGTTATTACCATTTTGCCATAAAATTGTGTAATGGCAAAATTAATTAAAATTTCCACATCAGGCGCAGGTACTAACAGCTCTCTGGAGATTTGGCTTTTCGAGTCCAAATTTATTATTTTCGAAAGGTTGGACGCAAAGTCAATTTTAATGCAGTTATTTGGTTGACTAGGTGAGTTTACGATGCCATTCAGCAAATGCATGATACTGTGGCTTGTAATGAAGTACTGCAGCCATAGTCTCTTCACGACCGAAGTTCGATTTATATGCGAAAATTTATAGGAAACTAGACCATTAAACCGTTATTAGGGTGTTTACGATCCGGAGTTATTTTTCTAAAGTAGTTTTTAAAAAAGGTTAAATGTTAAAATAATTAAGTTGATTCGTTAAGGAAAGGAAAGCTTTCGTGAGTTTCGTGGGCTTGAAAAACAGTGCTGAAAATATGTTGGCGATATTTGTCTTTTATTGCTGATGACGGTGTAAAACTCCGATTTATCTGGAGAGGTTGTGGGAAGAGAGTTGCCGAGGCGGTTTATGCACATTCTACGCTCGCCGGTTCGTGGTATGACTGAATGAAAGCTTCGGGGGAGGTTGAGAGGAGGCGGGAGATATTTGTACGCGCCGCGCTCCCAGCTGTTTTCCCCCCGACCAAACATTCCGTCCTACATCACTGTACCGTAACCTTCACCCACTGAACTGAAAAACAATATCGATGATGTTGGCCTGGTCGAAAAGGATTCTGCGAAAGCAGGAAACCGCAGGAATGAAGAACTGTTTTTCGAGGGATTATTTTCCTTTTTAAGGCGTTCAGAGTGGTGAAAATGTGCAAATTGGTGATTCCCGCTACAGGGGAATTTCAAGGATAATTTTGGATTCAATGAACAAAACTAGGATTTTCTAACCAGACACTAGAAGATATTATAGATCAAGTAATAGGTAAAAGTCGTATTTTCTTTTCTTGCAATAATACCTTAGATCTCTTTCGAGGATGAGTATTCTTTAAATGCGAAGCAATTACACATCTCGTTTCGTTCTGATCAAACAGAAAATCGGCAAAAATGAGCGAATCGACGAAGAGCCAGAGGGAACAGCGAAGGGCGAGAGCGGTAGTCAAAGGCAGAAAGTCGGCCGCGGGACTGCACTATTCGATTAACTTCGATACTTGGCTTCAATTGCTTTTTAAGATTCTCGCGATTGCTTTTGAAAGGTTTTGGATTAGATTGCAATTGGCTGAAAGGCATTAAAAGTGCCGTTGCTCGCCCTCCGCCAACTCGTCGTCCCCAAGCCGAGGGCCACTCGCCCCCGAAAACAGCTTATTTTTCGCCTCATTTGTGGAGCAATTCCAGCGACCAATAGAAACGGCGTCTTTAAATAAGAAGCCCGTCTGCCCACTGCCTTGATACAACACTTTTAATTTGTTTAAATCTTTAAATTGGGAGCCGAGCGGAAAAACACATTTCCTTCCCGTCTGAAGAGGTGGTCAACTGTTGGGTAATTATTTTTATTGATCGCTTTCGTGGAGTAATAGAGCTGGGAGTAGCAATCTGACAGGAGTTGATGAACGGAAGGCGTAATGAGTCTTGTTAAATCTCGTTTCTTAAATTGTCAATTTCCTGTTGAGAGTGTTGAGTTGATATATAAATAAGGGCCGTAGTTTTGCGGGCCGATGCTCCGGTTGAGTTTCGCGCGACGTCCTCCACTTTAATTAACATCCTTCTCAAGTAATCCCCTTGAGGAGTAGGAGGAAAGGGGATATCGGCTAAATTACTGACAAGTGTAAGGGAGATGCGGGAATAATGAACACACGTACACCTGCACCTAAACAAAGAACTTGTTACCGGTGCCGAGAGTCATCACAGTAATTAGAAGCAGTCACTGTTGTTCTTCCTTTTTCTATTTTCGTCCGAGGATCGTTGGAAATTTTAATTATAACACCGCTACTTTGCGACACTTCCTTTTTGAAATTAATTATTTTTTCGCTTGAGTCCGACTAAGTGATTCTCGGAAGAAAACAGCCCCAATCAAGGGAATAGTGATGGTAAGTGGTTATCCACAATGTCGAGGGAAACAGTATACAGCCGGCTGAGTGCCTGGCTGGTTTCAGCATAAAAGGCTCCCATTTCGAATCGCCGAAGATCTCGGTTTGCTCTCACATAAATGGCTTTACTTATTGCATTAGTTTAGTCAGTGTCGTTTCCGCTGCCGTCTCTCTCCTCGAGAAAAACTTTTAAAATACCCTAATGTTGGAAATGTAGAAAAATCAGCAACTTTATTATTGAGATCCTTCCACCACAATAACAACTGATTTATTGAAGACTATCTGTAATAGAAGAAGAATCTTTACGAACCAATTGAGCCAGCAAACATGACAAAATAACCATTTAAAGATAAAGTACATTCCGACAATGACCAGTCGACTTTTATTTCTTAACCACATCGGATTGCTAGACTTCGCTATTTGGATAATCTCAGCTGCGAATTGTGATTTACTGAAGCATCTAATTCGGATAAAGTTTTAATCAAGCAAAACATCTTTGAGAGCTTTATGATCTATTAATCCCGGAAAATGTTTAAAAAACTACACACTTTTCATTTATTAAGAGTTTTCCAATTTAAAATTTAATGTTTACATTGTATCTAGATAATTTCTCGCAGATTTATGACTAACCAGAAAAAAACAGTCTATGTAGTTAGACATCAATTTTAATTTTACATTAAACGCACTGCTTCTTCTCAAGAAAGTATTGTTCTAAACTAATAATGAAAATATAATAATGAAATATGAAACGAGTAAAATAAAGCTTTCAAAAGTTATTCTGAATCCTTCCTTTAATAAACTAATTACAGAAAAAAAACAACCACAACAGAATCTGTTCTTTATTTAATTTTATTTTAGTAAATTTACCATGGTTCTTTGTTTCCATTTATTTAAAGGAAATTAAGATGTAGATCATTTAGGCAAAACACGTTTCTTAAGTAAGCATTTTAGTGACATTTAAACTTTTTATCAGACTTTTACAATATTCTTAATAGTATTATTATTCTAGATTTCTTAAAAAATATTACAAATATAACAAAATCTGAGACAATTTATTTGTACAAAAGCAATAAGCTATGAGTATTTAAAGTATTATCTTTTTTGAAAATACACCTAATACAACATAAATACTGTTTTTTTATAAAATTGTTTTTAATTTGGTTTAAAGGTCATGTTAGTGAAATTATAATAATATATTCGATTATGTTTGCCCTATCTTGTTTATCCCCGGTTATGCTGAAAAGAGGTAGCAACTGAAAATATAAGGCAGCTCTAAAATATTTTATTTCCAACACCTGAAGCAATTAATTAAGAATTAACATAAAACTCTGTCACTAATACCTACTATTTTATCATGAAAGATAACAAATCCATTTAGAAACTACACAATCGTGTTTTTGGTCCCCGTTTCTTCATTTTGGTCAGTCTGATCGTCGTAAATGTGAATTTCAATACAAGGAATCTCTGGAACGTCCTCATAATTACTACTGGCTAATTGTTTATAGAATAAATAAATGCAATACTGAAAAGGCCACATCATAATAAAATACATAATAAGAAGAATCATCGTTATTGTGTTCCGAGTCTCACAAATAAAGTTTCCAGGGTAGACCGCCAGATAGACCGGTCCAACAAGCAAACAGACAGTGGTCAACATTACGTATATTCGAATATAGCCTTGTTTCCCCTGCAAAGTACTTTTAATACAATAATACAACAATGAAGTTAATTGACCTGAATTGTACCAATTAGTAGAAGAAATCCACTGATAATCCATACGACAGCTGAGATAATATCAGATATGGAGAGACAGGAATATGGATCGTCAAAAAATAACAATAACATGGGCAAAAACTTCAAAGAAATTTATTAAAACTTGAGTTGGGTTTCAGTTAAGCACTTACAATGTTTGAAATTATGACATAGTACACAACAAATTTAACACAGCGGTTTCGCAGATTCTTCGACATTTTCTTGTTACGGACTCTTCCCGTGAACAGAAGACTTAAACTGATAATAAGTCTATACAAAAGATAAAAACAATGGGTGTGTAAATAAACGTATTTTCGCTTTGTTTTAAAGAAAACATATGTGAACGTCACTGCTGCTATTATGTAATTAGTAAAACTAGAGTTTGTGTATAGAAAGCACGTGCAAGCTTTCTGTTCTCATTTTTTGTGTTAAATAGATGCGTTCGAATTTTACTTTGTGTCACATTAAATACGGCCCTGTATAAAGTGAAGAGAGTGCTTGTAAGTAGTCATACATAATGCAGGGGCTTTTGCTAGATTAGCGGAGTGTACGAAGGCACCCTCCGTGCAAAGTGCACATCTTCCAAAACCAGATTATCCCAGTCCAGATTTATACAGGTGTTCGAATAAATTTTCAAATAGTGAAATTAACCAGTAGTTTGGCGGATACGTTTTCATTTTAAATATTTAGATTAGTTAAGGGTGCGAGTGTGACGTTTTGTGAAAACATTTATATTATTTCCCGTTATAAATGGATTTGCTTTATTTCAAACAAGTTTGGTAAACTGTTAACAGATTTATAATCGTATTATTTGAAATAAGTTTCACATTGTTGATTCCCTAAATATAAAACAGGAACGATGACAAACCTCTTGAGTGATTTAGGGGGCACCAAAATGGATTTTGGTACGATAAAATAGTTTTAGAGGTTTGTGGGAACAGAGGCCGATTTAATTATAATAAAAAATAATAAAGCGGGTCTATTGGCATTTAGGTGGCATACATTTCACGTTTGCATTGAAAAAAGCGATTCGGGCCCGGGCGAATAAGGCCCACCCGAAAGTAATCAGAAACTTTTATCTAACATCAGGAAGGAGACGGGGAGAGATCAATTTCATTTCTTAATATTATATTGGGCTCGTGACTGGCCGAAGAACGGGCGAAATGGAGAACGGGCGAAATACCCCATTGCCGAGAACTGACGTTATTAAATCCGAAATGAAAAATTGGATAGTTTAAAATTGAATGGCTGCATATCACCAAGCCAGGGAATTGTGTGTCCGTACGTGAGTGTATGTGTGTGAGTGTACCGATATCGTTTGCGGCATCTGCTTGTTTTCTACCGGATATCAAAGTTTTTTTCCAAGATTGCAATTTTCGACGAGTTTCAATCAAGTTTGACCAACGAGCCGGCGAAAATTAAACTCCTTAGATGTATTGATCGAACAAGCGCGAACAATGCCCATGCAACCTATATTAAAGTCGAATTTTATACACACAAACACCCAGACCGTACCACATGTGCACTAAAACCAATCAAATATAATGGGATTTCAAAAACTTAAATAAAGAAAATATGCTATTCAAATGCAAAATCGCAGGATGTTAGTACAGTAAAACCTCCCTTAACGAACACCTCTAGATAGCGGACACCTCTTGATAACGAACATTTTTGTAGGAACGTAACTAATACATAGAAATGTAATGTAAAAAATCCTCTCTACAACGGACGCGTACAGTGAAATTTTCCCCATTAAATGTCATATAAATTTACCTCCTACAACAGACAGACCAACTGGTACTAAAGTCTACTCTAAAAGAGGTACGAACAAAAACACTCCGCCACTGGTGCCGATCTCACGGTTACGACCATGGAATTTGTAAAATAAAATGGAGCTCCCCGAAAATGCAACCAGCAGTGTACAGTAAAATGTTTTTGTTGCATTATCACCTACTTACCCACTTCAATAATAAGTAATATAAATGAATAGTTTTAGTTTTATCCGTATATGTAAACTGTTTTATAAATGAACTTTTATATAAGACTCAATAATTACATTCAGTTGCAGAATACAGAACAACCCCAAGAAAAACGTGTTAGTTAAAGTAATGAACTTCAAAAACATAATCAAAAGAACATTCGGTCTAAACAAACAAAAATTAACAATTTTTTCAAATAAAAATGTTTTTTTTCTATTTTTTTGTAATGCTTTTAATTTCTTAATATTTGTATTTATGTTGTTTTATTTTGTTATTTTGAATAAAAAGCTTTTCAATTTTTTTATTAATTTTGCACACCTCCCATTTAGGGACACCTCTTCACAACGGACAATTACAGATTCCCCATCGGTGTCTGTTGTTGAGAGGTTTTACTGTACCACACTAAATGACCAACTCTTTAGAAAACGGTTATTCATTATGTTCTATGGGTAGAAACGGTAGAAATTGCATTAAAATTTTTTAATACTAACTGTGGATTTCCAAAGTTGTTTAGCAAATTTTGAAGCTTTCTCAGTAAAACAATACGAGTAAGCATGACGTTCTCATACTAATGGTGTTGGTGAGTTTTTAGGAGCTAGAAGCAATTTGTAAACAATTTCTATTACATAGTATCTTTAAATTAAAAAGAAAACTAGTTTTATGAACAATTGCAGTATACCAATACAAACTGGTTGTCCAGAGTAATTGTTTTACTGTTACAAAAATTGATAAAAAAATTATTTGCACAACTGATTCAGCTTTGTTGTTTGTTCTTCTTTTTTCCGACGTTTCGTGTTTTGGCAAGCCGCCTTCGGCATCAAAATGACAAACGCCGGAGCCTGGCGCTACAAAAATGTGCCATTTATACGGAGTAATACGTATCGTGCAGATGTGTTCCGAGTTCTTATTAAAGAATCTCAAAAGTAATTTGAAGTTGTAATTGAAATGGTGAGAGTGTAATAATTGTGCCGGCGTTGGCGCAAGGGATCGGTTCCATTTCTGTGCCTTTTATACACTATATATACTCATACAAGGATTTAATTAGAAAATTTAATTGACTTTTATTGAAACTACAGCGCACTAAGCCGTAATAGGTTTAGTGCGCTTACATAACAATTTCATTAATTACATCTAGTCTGAAAGTAATTTATCTTTATCCAGATCCGAAAGCTTAGGCTGATTTATGCCTTCCCAGCAGTCACAAACATAACATGTTTATTATATTTATTAACCTGAGAGTGTAAACACAGCAGCATGGTCTATTGCCTCCTGAGGGTCGCCAAATTAGGATTAAAGTGAAAATTACTCATTGCTGCTTGTTTGTGTATTACTTCCAGAAGTTAATTAATTCGTTATATTCTGGCACTACATAGTTAGCTTGAGCTTTTATTTAGATTTAACTGAACATTTGGCCCAGGAAACTTTCGTTCTTTGAAAGCTCTATCCGCAGAGACAATTTAACTGAAAGCGTTGACGCTTTGAACCTGGGTCTATAGTCGCGATATGGTCTTTGACCGATGCCTTATTCATAAGTTGACCAGTAAAAGCTTTCGACGACGCTTTTAAAGTTAATTTGATTAGCGTTCCGGTGATTCATTGTCGAAGGACAAGGGGAACGAGAGATCAATGCGACTCGACGCATTAACCGGGTTTTACATATCCACTAAGTGCAGACTGGTGTAGGCCGGGCCGTATTGTTTGCCCCTGAAATGCACTCAACTTTACAGAAATACCTCTTATAGCCAAAGCTAATTCGAGTAGCCGATGTGAAAGCTCCGGACGGATACAGTGCCCGGATCCAATTTCGACAACGGCGACCTCTTTGCACACACTCAATAATAAATAAAGCCGACCGGAAAAATGTACATAGGTTTTGAAACGAAAGAAAATTGCTGCCATTTTTTCATCAATCAAATGGGCAAAAATATTGAATTTAATTCTTTTATCCACAATCACTCTATAATAGTATATTAAAGTACAAGTTGCAGAAGGTATCTATTCAAGCTCAAATTTGAAATTCCGAAACGAGCCGTATAGCGGCGAGTTGAGGAACAAATGAGTGCTTGAAGAACCTTCTGAAACAAGTGCTTTATACTATTTTTTCTATTTTGCCATTTTATATCATTTTATAAATTAAAAAACGAATTTTTTTTTCTAGAGAATATTGCGACGGTTGGCGACATTTAGATATGTCGAATATTTTAGGCGGCTGTACAAAATAAAAATAATTCATATTTTCACATTTGAAAATGAATTGTGAAGAAAGTCCGTCACTAAAATTAAATTACCGCGAACGACTTATTCCAGCACTCAAATGACGTCATTTGGAATAGACTTATTCTAACACCGAAATAGAAAAAGAGACTTTATTCCACACGTTAGATGCGTATAAAGTACCACTTTATCCACTAGTGGCATAAAGTAACTTTATTCCACTGTTAGTAACCAGCGCACCGCATAACAGCTTACTACGTTTAACCGAAAGCACATTTGACGTAACGTTTAAATGTCAGTTTAATTTTTAATTAAGTTTGGAATAATTTGGGCCTGTGATTGTGGATAAAACGTTATATTACAGTCGTGTCTTAGTCGCGTTTTATCCACTTAAGAAAATTAACCACTCTTGTGTGGATAAAACGCTACCTAACACACAATAAATAACTATTATTTGATTAAAAAATTATAAAAGTAGTGATGGTGTTTGAAGTGTGAGTGTCATTTTTGCTAAACGTCGTAAAACTGTGTAGAAATTCGCATCGTAGGTGGGATAAATCCGGGCGCAGCAAATAAAACGTTCAGAAAAGTGAAATTTAAAATAACACCATCAATAAGTCTTTATTTCGTTATCCGCGTATTTCCCAACAGAAACCTATTTTGTGTGAAGCTTCCTATTTTCTGTTTTCTTGCCGGAGTACGGAAGGAAACCGCCCGGAAAATTGTCAATTCGGTTTGCTTCACTGTGACATAAGACACGCCAACAATAACACGGATAGGCAGGTTCGATAGCTGTCCCTAATACGACCAAAGGCACTATCGCCAAATTATTTATTCCAAAGAAACCAATTTATTTCTATGAGACATAACACACTTTGCCCTTCTACGGATGAAAGAGCGCGCCATTTCGAAAACGCGCGATAACTTTTTTAATCCGCTCTCATTTTCTTTATTTGAACTGGGGGCCAATTTATGAAAGCAACTTCGACCTGTCACAGTCCGTGGAATTATTTCAATTAGTGCACGAGAGTGCAGTTTGATATATGCAGCTCTCTAATTAAAGTTAAGTCTCGAATAAACGTCAACTGTTTTTAACGAGCGAGTACACAATTAAAATTTCCAGAGATGTATTCCCGAAAATAGCAGCGCCAGCCATCTGATGCTTTTAAATGGATACTCGCCAACAATAAAAATGATAGTCTAATTGGGCTTCCGAAATTTTTTATTATTTATGATCACTTGAATTAAAATTAATTGTGCTTGTGGAGATTTTTCAACCGGTTTGTGTACTCGCCTAAAAACTTCTTTTTCTGCTTTTAAAAACTTAATTTCCAAACATCGACTTCATTCATTAGTTGCCCACATTTTTGTTACTAAAATGATTTATCACTAAAATACTTATGTTAAAACAAATTTTTTTGCTT